TGAGGTTGATAGCACTCAAGGGAGAGTGGAGACAAACTGAATTCTAGTCAGAGCAACAACTAATGTACTAAACATGCATATATAAGTTGTATACGCAAAATGACTACTTGGAGTGCAACACTATACCAATGGAAATGTCCATATCTAAAGAACATGTAAGAATTTACATACAGATGCTGAAAAGTACTCACATACATATGATGAACAAAAGGACAACAAATTTAGCAAGGCTAGTCTTATTCTGGGACACATTTATTCCACAGTAATATTTGCAGCTATTGATATTTGTTGACTGGATTAAAAAGTGGCTACTAAATATTAAGAACATCCCATGGAAAGGTCTGAAGGCATTGCTTAGTTTGTTAGCCATTCCATGAAAAGATGTTTCCTTCATTATAATTTTATTGACACACTCAAGGAGTTCGAGACTTTGTGAGAAACAATCTTCTGGAGCCGTTTATCATAGAACTCTTTCGGAACTTGAATCCAAATTGAGTCCCAGCACAACCTTCCTGACTGTGCTTCAGAGGAGAAAGAACTTCTGTGGCTGGAATGAAAGAGCACTTCCCCAAGAGGCACTTTTCTTGCCAGGCAAAACAGCGACAGAGGCTGTCCAATCAGAAAGAAAAGGTAGTCCCTCTCCTCAGATATATTGTGTGGAGAAAAGAAAAAAGACAGAATAACAGAGTTGGAAGGGACCTTGGAGGTCTTCTAGTCCAACCCCCTGCCCAAGCAGGAAACCCTATCATATTTCAGACAAATGGCTATCCAGTCTCTTCTTAAAAATTCCCAGTGTCGGAGCATTCACAGCTTCTGGAGGCAGGTTGTTCCACTGGTTAATTGTTCTAACTGTCAGGAAATTTCTCCTTAGTTGTAGGTTGCTTCTCTCCTTGCTTAGTTTCCACCCGTTGCTTCTTGTCCTGCCTTCTGGTGCTAATACAGTGGTTCTCAACCTGTGGGTCGGGACCCCATTTGGGGTCGAACGACCATTTCACAGGGGTTGCCAAACAATGCAGTCCGCCATTTTTTTTTGCCCTTTTCCTTAGCTGTGCTACTCCCTTTTATTCTATTGGCTTTTGAAAGCCAATAAAATAGACTCTCTTGAATAGAGTCTAATTCTATTGGCTTTCAAAAGCCAATAGGAATTGTCCAGGCTGTCTCTGCCCTGCTGAGCCCGCCAAAAGTCCCATTCTGCAAATGGTGCTGCATCAGCTGAGTAGTCCTCCACTTACGACCGGTTGAGTAGTCCTCGACTTACGACCGGTTGGGGGTCGCGGCATTAAAAAGGTTGAGAACCACTGTGCTAATAGGTTGACTCCCCTCTTCTTTGTGGCAGTCCTTGAGATATTGGAATACTGCTATCATATCAACCCTTGTCCTTCTTTTCAGTAAACTAGACATACCATACCCAATTCCTGCAATCATTCTTTGTATGTTTTAGCCTCCAGTCCCCTAATCATCCTTGTTGCTCTTCTCTGAACTCTTTCTAGAGTCTTAACACCACTTTTATATTGTGGTGACCAAAACTGGGGGCAATATTCCAAGTGTGGTCTTACCAAGGCATTATAAAGTAGTATTAACACTCCATGTGATCTTGATTCTATATCTTTGTTAAAGCAGCCTAGGACTGATTTAAAAGTTGGAGTAAACCCTTTGTTATTATGAAGGGTTGGATAAGGTAATCCCTATTCTTTAATTTTGATTGTAAGTCAAAAGAACCATCACCTGACTGGTGGGGTCTGATTGGCAGAATCTATTTCCTGCTACTCTATGACTCATACCTCTTCCTGGTTGCTGTCTGCCAGTGGAAACTCACTGCTCTTTGGATAAGGATCTTTTTTCATAACTATTATAGGATCTCTTGCTTGAGCAGGGGGCTGGACTAGAACACCTCCAAAGTCCCTTTCAGCTCCATTCTGATTGAAAAATCTTTTTCTACCTTTCACTGTATAAACATAGGAACACCACCAAACTATTATGTTAGCAGATATGGAAAATTCATAGTAGGTAGCTAACAAACTTTTACCAATATCAGTAATTAGGAAAGCAGTTAAAAATCTATAAAATCCAGATGAGTGGCTCAGGTTCACAATATCATTTTTCTGCTATTTCTAGACACTGCAATTGTTAAGATTTACAATAAATTAATATCTCCCCTAATGAGGAATGTGCAACTAAGTGAGCAGAGCCTTCATTCTTGTAAATCATTTCTAAGTCTGTTCAGAAGGTAAGATAAAGTATGAAGTTTGTGAAGTCACTGGCAGCAAGATTTATAGCACAAGCTCACTGCATGGTGGTGATTGCCATTAAAATCTCAGGCCTGGACTACTTTATACATTATAGGATTAGTGAATCTTGGGGCAGAGTTATAAAATTCAGCCTTACTCTCTGGGTAAACCCTCATTATGTTAACAGAATAGCAACAGTATTAAAGTTTCACTCACTTGATAACTTAGATAGTATCTTGGGTGTGCATTTTTCACACTAGTATGTCATAGGAAAGCTAGATTTAGTTTTCATTGTTCATAAAATCAGTTGCTATGTTTTCAAGACCTTGGCAATACATTATTTCTTTTTTGCCAGTATCATTCATTACACTAAGCTCTTGAACTACCTCCCACATGGATATTCATAGTTTGGTAACTGAAGCATCATGTTAGTGCAAATGAATTACCTCAAGCATGCTAAAGATATGTGTTCCACAACTTGAATGTCTTTAGAGTCTTGTAGCCATTCTGGAGCAAGCAATTAAGAGCTGAACACCAAGGGATGGGAAACTGCTGCACACCGACCAACTGCCAGAGCTGCTAAAATCTGGTCAGGTTAGTAGTGATGTTCTCCATGCTTATGGTCTTTGTTTGTTCTCCAGACTTATGGTTCTGGGGGACTTCAATCTGCCATTCATGGCCACCATGGAGCTAACCCATGTCATCTCTGGCATGACTTACAAGGGAGGCTATATGTTAGACACAGTTTTTAATCACATGCCAGTGGAGACATGATATATAGTTGGGAAATATTACTTGAATGTTTGCATTAGAAAAATTGAAAAAAGCCTTCTAGAAGTTTATTTAGAAAAGCAGTAACTGAACCAAAAGTATGTGCATGCACATACTGCAATGTGGATACATATATACAACAATTTACAGTACTTTAAGAATAAGAAGAATCAATGTGGATGACATTTTTGTAGTGATAACTCATTCCTCCCCCATACAGACTAAACATGCATTTTAAACACAAAAGTACCATGTAAGCAGACACTCTAATATTGCCATTATAATCAAGGAAAAGGCAACTGTGTACCCTTCAGATATTTCTACTTTTAGCCAGCATGGTCAAAATAAGGTGTTGTGAAAGTAGTTCAAAACATCTGGAGGCACCAAGCATCATATCCCTGAGGTAAACCATTGGAATTAATTTCTGGTGTGCATGAAGTAGGAGGGCTTTAAGAATCATCTGCATGGGACACTAGACACTCTACTGGTGTAATCATGACTGATAAGGTCTGCATTTCTGTTGTATTTCCTGAGAAGTTGTCTCACTCAATAATAAACTATTAGTAAAAGAGTGGAACTATATTTATATTAGCAGCTGCAGCCAAAGGTTGTCATGCACTGGAACTTATTTGTGTGACAAGCTTGGTAAAACAAAAGCCTTCTTCTAGGCAACATTGACCAACACTGTGTTCAGAAAGATGACACATTGATATGTTATATAAAATTGACAGAGAAAATAGGAATGACCTCCTTGTCTATATGGCATAAATTAAGCCCTCCTTTGGGATTCATGTTATTCTTTTTTTTTTGTAAAGGAGAAATAAATGATAGAAAACTATCCAGGGGAAAATGGTATTTCTTTTCTTGTTTAATTGTAGAATAAAAAGCAAATATGTGAGTTAAAAATATCATATAGGTTCATCAGTTTCTAAGCACACCTGCTGTTCCTCATTTCTGTCTCAAATGATTCCAGGTCAAAAGGTGAATAATTATTAGACAAGATAAACCAGAATTATAAAGGCATGGAACCAAGTGTTTTTAATAGGTTCTTACCAATTAACTGTCACTCCGGGGAATATATTCTATTTTGAAAGAGAATTTACCACTACAAGAAATATTAACAATAATTACTCCACGTCTGTCCAATTGGAACATTAACCTAGAAACAGACGGGATCATTCCCAGAAGTCTGCCAACATTTTAACAAATGGCAATGGCCCTTTAACAGATGGGATGCATGCTCTGTAGTTTGCCAGGATCCCAACAATGAACATGAGCTTCCATAAAAATGAAAGACATGTACCTTACAATTGCCAGCGATAGATTTCAGTGTCATCAATGCAAATGCTGGCTAAGCATATAGACCGACCACCAATTATTGGCACAGTTGGATAAACTTTAAAGCTAATTTTGTCATTTGTGTAACATTATGTATATTTTTATAAACATTTTATAAATAATAATAAAAAACCAAGTGCTGAATTTAGCAAGTGATGTCAGGCTTTTTTGTGTTTCCAACTAAACCAAGTGCAGGGCACAAGCTAGGCATGATAGACAAGAGATCATTGGAAATGTGGCCTGCATATTATTTAATTATTTCACATATTTATTGACACAGAATAGGCAATCATTACTTATTGTTTTTTGGATGTACAGTTTTTCAGTGTATGATTCTGTGTGCAACTTACATTATAACCTGGTATTTGTGACTTTTTCTACATGACTTTTCCCATATAGTCTTAAGTAAACAATTTCTTCTATATTCAATTTTTAAAAGTGAAAGCAATCCTCATGTAGATTTTAAACTCAATTTACCCAAAACACGCTGACAACTTTTACACACAGATGCTGTTTTGTAACAATCTTCCCATTAAGAATCATAGACATTCTTGAGTACCTATCATAGCCTTTGCTGGCCAGTGCTTAGCTTTCCTTTCCATTGAAGACCAGCGAATAAGAAGAAGAACATACCCACACGTAGACAAACACGCAAGCACTCACCTTTCCCGTTCCTCCTTCATCTTTTCTAGGTCAACTTCTTTGAGTGTACTTTGCTTGGAGTTTCCCTTCTGATCACTTTTTACACCTTTATCCTCTTTTTTCTTGCCAAATCTGATTTAAAAATGAGATTTCGTATTAAAATAAACCAGAAATATTATGAAAGTCTTAAGATTTAAACAGTCTGATTTAAGTAAACACAATACATTATGGTTTGCTTCAGCTTCAATAAAGCTGACTCAAGGAACTTAAGTTTTATAGAGTATAACTTTTCCATAATTTTTTCATTATAATTTCCATTTTTATTGTTTTAGAAATACTTATCTTTTATGATTTTAATGCTTTCAGTGTTGTAAAACATAGTCACTTCGGAAGGAGATGGGCAGCAAATCAATTTAATAAATAAAATAAAATAAATAAGGCATGTTGGAGTATCTATGTAGATTCTCAGTCATCTAGGTCATGATTGTCCCAAAGGTGCTTTTACATGAAGCAACTGGACTTTCTTTTTTCTCTTTGAAGACCTGTCGCTTCTCATCCAAGAAGCTTCTTCAGCTTTGACTGGATGGTGGGGAACCTTCAGCCAACACAACATAAGGCACACTTCAAACCCAAGAATACACTAAGGCAGAAGCTTGTCCATCCCAAGGGTAAAACACCCAGACACAAACTGAGCAATATGATATGTGCAGTACAATGCAGTGACCCATGTTGAGATCTGTACATTGGGGAAACAAAACAACCATTTCATAAATGTATGGCACAACACAAGAGAACAAACCCATCAGGAAAAGATTCAGCAGTCCATCTGCATTTAAAAGACAAATGCCACTCTTTCAAAGACACCAAAGTCCACATTTTGAACAGAGAGGATTAATGGTTTGAAAAAGGAATCAAATAGGCCAACTATGTCAAAATTGAACAGCCTCTTTCAACAGAGGAGGAGGCATACGACATCATTTATTTCCAGTCTACAACACAGTTCTTTCAACAGTTCCAAGAAGGCTCCACACCCATTTGCACTACTCAGGTGACCCTGACGACACAGATAAACTTTCAGGTGGCATCAACAACTCTCTAAAAGAATGCAAATGAACAGCTGTCTGCAAGGAGTATAAATCCTTCCATACCCCACCATCCAATCAGAGCTGAAGAAACTTCTTGGATGAGAAACAAAACGTCTTCAAAGAAGAAAAAAAAAGTCCAGTTGCCTCAGGAAAAAGCACCTTTGGGACATGGTATGTAGGAAAATCTCTAGGGACAGTCCAAGAAAGGGAGCAATTATGTGATAGAAAATATCGGAAACCCTAGTTCTGCCAATTTCCCAAAAGATGAAAAACCCTGGCCAACCTACTATCAAAGATACTTTAAAAACATGAGCAAAGAGAGTGAAATCCCTAAATACTTTAGCCCAAAGTCAGTTATTTCCAAGCATAAAACAAGGTGATGAAAACATATGAAGTAAACTCAGCTTCAAAGAAAACAACAACCATTTAATGGGGAGATTTTCTTAATTTCTTTTATTAAATTATGTGGAGGAGAGCCTTGAAAGGCCAAGCCAGTTCTGTCTCCAACAATTTAATGTGATTGTTTTGAGGGCCTTACTGGGCCATTGGTGCACCTTTGTAAAGACGGAGAAGATCCCTCCTCAGACAATCTGGAAGGAGTTTAAAATTACTACATAGAATCCTCAGGAGAATGGGGCTACCCTGACATCGAGCAGTTACAGTCTGGAGTTATTTCTTAAGCCCAAATTTTTACTCATCATTGCCTGCGTAATTTGAACGCATGTATACCCTTTTCTTAATCAATTCACCATTTATTTCTAATGTTGTATTATTAATAAATATATTATTCTTTCTAGTTTTTGTAAAATTAGCAATGTTAACCATTATCTCTTTTCATTCAAATGCTACCTGGTGCTAGTAGACCTTTATAAAAGGCATTCAATAGGTACGTTTCATATATGCGCACACATAGCGGTATGAATGTGTATGTATAAATTATATTTATGAATATCTTGAATATGTGTGTGTGTGTATGTATGTATCTCTATATAAATAAAATATTCAGGACATTCTTCAGTTATTTTGGGTGTCTCTAGAAAATACTGTTTTATTCATTAAGCATCTCTCCTGTACCATGTTGGATGAATTATGTTTTCCAAAAATGTTGGCATTTTTTTCAGTGAGCAAAATTGAATTCCTGACTTTAATTTCATTATTATATAGCTCGCAATACTACTGAATTCCAATAATGAGTCTCCAGAAGTACAAAGCAAGTCTCTAAAAGGAAACCACACAATACTTCTTGAAGACTCCACATATTAATTGCCAATTAAAAATATCTTGTTCTGTGTAAATTCAGCATTTGCATAAGTGTGTGCACTAGGTGCTTACGCAAAATAGCAGGGGTTATGGATATGGATATCCCTTCACATACTGATTGTCACAGAGTAGACAAAGCACCAATTTATGATAATACTACTGCCATTATCTGTAGTTTTTCTCTTTCTGAGTTCTTTCTAGTATTTTTGCTCATCTTTGCTATTTTTTGGTAAAAATATAAAAGTTGAATGGGGCATGTATGAATTATCTACAGTAAAAAAAAGAAGTAATACAATCAACAATGAATAGGTGCTGAATGAATGTGGGTACATTGCAAAAGTGAATGATCAGTTCAAAGGAAAAATATTTAAATGGCTCAAGAAGAAGGAAAGTAACATCATTGTTGAGAATCAGTTTGGTGTAGTAGTTAAGGCACCATGCTAGAAACTGGGAGAACATGAATTCTAGTTTTGACTTTGTGCTTTGGGAACAAAACCAGCTGGTCACCTTGAACCAGTCACTCTCTCCTAACCCTAGGAAGACAACAAGGGCAAACCATTTCTGAAACTCTTGCCATGAAAACTGCAGGGTCTAGATTAGGCAGTTGCCAGTAGTCAAGAAAGACTTGAAGGAACTAAAAGTGTATATACCAGAGAGTCTGGTTTTTTTTCTTATTGTATACTGTAATATTTTTATTGCTAGTTTTTTTTTAAAAAAAAGATGTGTAGGTTCTGTTACATATTATAAAACAATTGCTACTCTGTTTACCAGCAGGTAGGAAGAAGAAATTATATGGTCTCAAAACATGTAATTCTGTTTGGGAATTCATGACTGATTTTGCTCAGGCAAAAAGTGGTGTTCCTTTTTCCATACCCATCACGGAGCACATTGCTTATGGGCCAAAAGGAACGAAGGGAAAAGAGTAGGAAATAATCAACAACTCAAAATAAACAGAATGTTTTAGTGGAAGGCAAGCACCTGCCTAGGGATAAGCATCAGCAAAAGTTTCACTGAATAAAAAAAATACTTCTTTCTCTCTAGTGAATTCAGATAGGAGGACTAAACACTGTTCTGTAGAGAAATCTCCACTTCCTTGAATTTTTAGCAGGCAGAAATATCATCAAAAAGATTTGAGTATTTGAGACTATCAATTATTCTATCACATAATAACTTTACAAGCTTAACCAGATAGTGTAAAATAGCCCTCAAGCTAATTCTGGAAAGATCTGAATCTAATAGCAGCCCAGAAGAGAGCTTTCTTGTCTAATACATACATATTAAATGGATAACACATTGCTTTCAGAGATGCTGCGTTCTAACCACACCATGTTTTATTATTCCTGCTCCCCTTCCCCTTCCTAGTTTTATTTAAGCAGACCAGAAGTTTAAGATTTGATTTTGCCTGTGCTAAAGTTTTTACCAAGTAATACTTCTCCAGTCTTTCTATGGTTATAGGAACAATACCGAACACGGATCAAAATAGAAAGAAATTGAAGTTGCTTCTCTTCCCTCTTTAGACCGTGATGCTGCCTTTTTTTACAAATAAAAAATTACACACACACACACACACACACACACACATATATATTCCCCCAAACTTCATTGTAACACCTGGCAATTATAACAAGTAGATACTGCAACAAGAAGAGTGCTATTAGATAGTGATGTATTATTATTGTCAAAATCTGGATAAACTGAAGTAAGATTATATACTAATGGACTGTAACTAAATCCAGATGAAAATAGCTCTCTTTGCTATTCTTGGCTTTATGCCAAAACTGTGTGAAGTTGCACAGTACACCTGCCATACCAAATATACTGCCTTTTTGTAACCTTGGCTCGATTATTATATTTTTTAAAAAAACAATCTTTTTTTTTTTGCCTTTTACAAAATTTTTAGAAAGTTCTCCCTGCTGGTTTTTATATCAAAGCTGATTATCTGTAAGTTATCTGGTTTCCAAACATTCAGGTGTCAAAAACTATGGCAGCAAACATGATAGAGTCCTCAGGGGACATGCTCATCTTTAAGGTGCAACAAGACTCACTAGGCAAGAAAAAAACATCAACAGCTTCCATGAGTTCAAGCACTCAGCGCTCTCTCCTCCGATTTTCCCCCACCACAACCCTGTGTTCTTGCTTGGCTCCTTCATATGTGAGGTGAAGCCTCCCACATCTCGAGGCCTTGGTTTTACTCTGCAATTTAGTTTGTTAGATCTGGGCTGCTATTAGATTCAGATATTTCCGTTAGATTCAGATATTTCCAGCATTTGCAATTATAAGAAAGGAATGGAGATGTTAGCAGCCTTTGATGTACAAGAGATATAAGATGATATAGTAACAGAAGATTCCTAAAAGGCTTGTCTTTGAAAGAGTACAGTGGAACTAATAGTTCCTGCCACTTTATATCTTAAGAAAAATCCCAGCTATCAAATGAAAAATTGCACTTATTCAAAAAATGCTAAACAGGGGCACTTTACATGAGTTCCAAAAAACTATTTGAAACAATAAATAAATAAATAAATAAAATAGTACCAAGTCACATTTACTAAGTAACTTGTTGCAGTTATTTTTAAAAACCAACGTTCTCATACTATCCAGAAATATACAGTAGATGCTTCCTGATAAATAGTGATAATGTTAGACTGATAGCTCAATTAGGAGAGAAAAGCCTCCTGTGATGAATAAACCACTGGGTATTTAATATATTAAGCCTTTCAAAATGGTTTCCTCAAACTATATGAAAAGGAGACAGAAAATAAAATTAAGAACATTCTGGCCTTTGGCCAC